GTCTTCCTTTACCGGAGTTAGGGGTTTAGGGTGTAGGGCTGAGGGCTTTTGGGGTTTAGGGTTTTTAGGGTTTAGGGCTGTTTGGGTTAGGGTTTAGGGTTCAGGGTTTTCGGGGCCAAGGTGCTTTGGGGGCTTTGGGGGCTTTGGGGCTTTGGCGTTTAGGGGTTTCAGGGTTTGGGGCTCTTAGAGTGTAGGTTTCGGGTTGGGGGTTCAGGAGTATGACCTGTGAACCTGGAATTCTTGAAGCAATGAAAACAAGATCGAAGAAATGCAAGAGGTTTGTCCAACTTTCATGGGCCAGAAACTCATTTTCAACCCACCCCCCCGTGGTCATGTGAGGAGGCGAGGACATCGTAGCCCGGCATCAGCATGTACCCGGCACCTGCTTCGTGCACCTCCTGGCAGGTGTTTGAAGGCCGCGGGAACTATCCTTCATACCGGACCCAAAACCCTAAACCCTAAATCCTAATCCGCAATGGCCGCAAAAAGAGACGATCTCCATTTATGGCTTGAAGGAACTATGATCCCTTGCATCTTCGACCATCGCTTTTGGGTGTAGGGTTTAGCGATTTAAGGTGTTTAGGCTTTAGGGTTGGGCGATTTAGGATTCAGATGTTAGGGCGTAGGGTTTAACTGGGGACTTGTGACTTACAGCAAAGCAGCAAAAGTTTGTCATGCTGCTCGGCCCTAAACCCGAAGTTCAATGCCAAGGATGCCCCTCTCCCCTTCAGCTTCGGTTTTGGGTTCCGGCTGAATGCCTTTATGATAGCTTTGGTGGTCAAAGCGCAGGGCTCTGGCAGAATCCTTCTGGGTCCATTTATCTCCAGACCGCAAAAGGCCCTCGATTGAAAAGCTTGCAAGGAGCCATGACCCGTAGTTCGAGAAGCACGACTACCTGACCTACCGAGCACTTCAGACCTCAACCTTTCGCCTAAACCTAGACAGCGCAAAGCCCTGAACCCTAAGAAGCCGGAATCCCTAAACCATCCCAAACCCTCCACCCCAACCCTAAACCCTCCGAAACCCTAAACCCTAAATCCTAAACTCTAGAACCCCAAACCCTTTAGGATCGAAGTCTCCTTGTTGTTCCTTACGACGTGCACCGCCATGGTGGCGGGACTGTCGCTGGCCTCGGCCAGGGCCACGGACCTCACAGCAGAAAGGGTCACGTTGAGACTGTGGGTGTCTTGTGGGGGATTTTAAGGTTTTCAGAGTTCAAGGGTCCAGAGTCCAGGGTTTAGGGTTGAGAGTTTAGGGGTGCGGAGTTTCAGGTTGAAAGTTTAGGTACTTGTATCATGCAGTGATTTTTGATTCTGGGATGGCTAGCCCAGTGTGTGGTGCAGGTGCCCGCCTTTCTCCTGGATGGACGCTGGGTGTCGGGTTTATGGTTTATGGGTGCTGGCGTGTCACCCTAAAACCTAAACTCTAAACCCGAAGCCCTAAGCTACATGGATGCTGGCATACTCGTTGGGTGAATGCTGTGAGGTGTTGGAGCATTTTTTGGTTGCTGTCTGCCCCCGAGATATTGTGAACGTGTTGCTCTTGTCATGGAGAGTTTCTTAGAACCATCGATTCCTGAGTTAAGTCAAGGGTCCCCTATTCACGGAAGGGTTTAGGGTTTCGGGCTTAGGGTTTACGGTTGAGTCTGTATCCTTAAACCCTAAACCTAAACCCTAAACCCTAATATTCGGGGCATCTATAAGGATCCTGAAACTTGCATCCCGAAGTCAGCACCCCTAAGACTTCTCAACGGGAAGGCCTAAAGCTTAAAGGGTTCAGGGGTAGGGTTCCCCCGAAACCCTAAACCGTAAACCCCAAATCCCGCGACGACTGCTCCGTGAAAGACCCTTGCAGCCATGTCGCACTCGAACGCCGGCCGCAGAACCTGCAGTCTACGAGAAGGGGCCTTCATAAGCAGAATAAGATGTTATAGGGTCTTATTGGGCTCTTAGGGTTTTAGCATGGGGTCATTCTGCACTGAGACTGTTCCGGTGACCGGCAACTGTAGTTCTGAACCTAAAGCCACACACACATCGCGCCCACTCTCCCTCCAACACATACATCCCAGAACTGCCCAAGCCCACAGGGATGAGTACACATCTCAACGCCCCCAACAAAAAGAAGATTACCGTGACTCGAGTTCATCCGCATCGCAACCCGAGAGATGCACGCCGAGTCTCTCTTGGAGCCCGGTTTCTTGTCCTGAACCGAAGAACCGCGGGACATTCGGCTAGAATTTAGGGTTCAACGCTGCTTTAACTGTGTTGGATAGTGATCTTTGGCATAACCCCGACACTGCGAAGACGGGTGTCGGAAACGGGTAAAGTTCTTTGCAATCCCTGCACCCGTCCACGGCCAGCATCTGACTTGAAGGACCCGTGCTTGATGCTTGCTTGTGTTGAAGGCTAGCGGGCGGACAAACAAACCGCTGGGGGAGGACCGAAAGCGATGTCAGAGTTGGAGTCTGGGTAGCAGTTGTGATGGATCGGCGAGATAACAAGCTGTGCTCCACGCTGCGACTGCGGGACCCAAACGATCCAATGCTGGAAATTTAAGCCGGAACAAACCTTCTGCGTTGCACGACAAGACACTTCGCAGCATCCGAAATTCCAATTGACAGGAGTGCTCTAATGTGCATTAACCGGATGTGTCTTCTTGGAAGCACCAGTCGTTTTTGCGTATACCAAACGAACACTGAGAATTGGTAAGTGCCCCGTGGAGCATGTTGTTGGCAATGTAAGCCTGTCTACATAGGTTTGTTTGAACTGCTGACCCCGGTAAGCCCTAAACTCTAAACCCCAAGCCCGCAAACTTCCCACTCGGCATGAATATGAAGAGTCTAGGTTTTAGGGGGTTTAGGGGGTTTCGGGGTTTAGGGTTTGGGGTGTACATCCCAAGCCCGACCTCAACCCCACAACACTCGAAGCCAAGCTCCCGGCAACCCAAATCATACACACATCCCTAACCCTAGGCCCTAGACACATCCATAAATATGAATCTCCATGCCCGAGGCCCATCAATCCGTCTGAGAAACGTAGAACCAACACCCTCAGGGCGCAGGAAACCCGAAACCAGAAAACCTCAAAAGTCTTGGAAAGCATACAACCCTCAAAACTCTAAACATCCTAAAACCCAACCAAAAATCCTAAGCATCCTAAAACGCAAAAGCCACCCACCCTGAAAATCCTAGACCTCCGACAAGCACCCCAAACAAAACCACCGAAAGCCTCCGAACAAACTCTTGGGCTCAGGGGCGATCTTTTTGCTCGCGGCGCGCTCCAGGCCATCCCGATAGTCTGACTTCGAATGTCGGATGAGGTAGCCTGTTTTGGATCTTATATTAACAGAAAGGTACGCTGTGGGCCCCAGTTTTTTCGCACAGAAGGTTTTGCGAAGTTTTGTGGGCTGTCGCTCTAAAATAAGGCTTTGGGACTTTGGGGAGATCAGGGTTTAGGGCTTATAGGGATTAGGATTGTTTAAGGATTAGGGTTTGGGGGGTGAGTGTAGCCTGTTTAATAAAGGGGCTGTAACTTTGGGGTAGATTCCTAGCATAAGTGTACTAAGGGGCCCTAAAGCCCAGTCGGATGAGGTAGCCTGCCAAGGAGTTTAATAGGTTCGGGACTTTAGGGAGGTGAGGGCTTAGGGCTTGTAGCGTTTTTTTGGTTTAAGGATTTGGGGTTTAGCGTTACAGTATAGGGTTTAGGGTTGGTAACGACAGTAGGGTCCTAATTTTGGGGTGGCTTCAAGACTAGAGAAGGGTTCCGTCAAGTTGTCTTCAAAGGACTACCATAAGAAGCACTACACAGGGATCATACAACTAATCCTCCCGACCTCTCTCTAGATTACACTTCAGGGTGAAAGGGCTCTTGGGAGAGTTCAGCATCGGAGGGTCTTTGAACTACCGGGCCTTTAAAGGCGGATGCCTTCCGGTCGAAAGCTAAAAAAGGGTGCATAAAAGATGTAAGACCCCGAAGACTCCTAGGCTCCCAGTCGTAGGTTTCGAGGCAAAGTGTTTGAGGGGTATGGGATCTAGAATCTTCTGGGCTCCGGGTTTCCGTACTTCAATCTCCTAAGTCTTGCTAGTCTTAGGCCGTACGGGCTATTGGGCATTAGGATGCGCGGAGGCTCGGCTTCTCGGTTTTGCATTGCTTCTAAGGCCTTGAACTTTGCAATATCCCTTGAATCACACAGGGACCCCGATGCTCTCTTCTCGCAGCCGTTGGTGGATTTGGGGTTTAGGATTGGTTTGGAGAGTTTAGGGTTTATGGAGCTTTTTCTGCACGGGCAGAAATGGCTGAACAAGCATTTGCACCGGCGTTCTTTGTCATTTGCGAGTTCTGCCACGTGCGCACTGTACCCGAGACTGCTGGATCTGAAGCTGGGCTACCTATACGAACGGTCTGAGAGGATCACAGTGATACCTCTGGACGAGGTTGGACAAAGACTGGCCGTCGTCTCTTCTCAATACTACAGAGGGATCCATAACGTTTGCACGGCTGCATGCTAGCTAGTCAATATGGAAAACACAAAATCTGGAGCTGGAAGGAAAGTCGTCAGGAGTCCTTCAGCCTGGGGCGTGCTTTCGTCGTACAAACACGCACACACGGACACCGGCGAAAACGATGGTTGCATCGACCCTTTCCGACTTCGCGATTGGCCGCAATGGACCTGGACGAGGAACATGCTGTGAGAAAAAAAGACACATGGCCCTAAACCCTAAACCCTAAACGCCCCAATGCCACCGGAGTCGCATGGATTCTTCCGCCAGGTGCTTGTGCCGAAAGCACCCCCAGAGGTCTCGATGACAAACCTTTTCAACCAGCTTCCGTGAGCAAATTTGGCTTAGGGTTTAGGGTTTCTGGTTCGTGATTTCGGGCGTTGCACTTGAGGGGAGCACTTCTCATGCTGGACGGCTCCTTGAGAGAGGTGGAACGGAATGCTGCAGCCATGGGCCCACGCCTTCCGCATCTGCGGTTTCTGAACTTGGGTGTGTCGCATCCTACAAGAGGCCCAGAAGTTCCGCTTCCTCATGCCAAGCGGCCACAGCACCTCTGGAATCCCAAATTAGATGTTTCGAAGCCGGTAAACCTGTGCTTAAACGCATCCTGGACACTTCCGACCTGTGTAATTGACGTTCTTCAAACATACATTGCAGGCCCCGAGACAACGATATCTGCCAGGATGCTCTCCATGGATCGTCGAGACATCCGCCCGAAGACGTTTGATCTCGGCCTAGCCAGACACCAACAACAAGAAAGATACCCTGTGCAAAGATGATCACCACGACTGTGACTGTTGGTACCACAGCTCTGCTGACTGCAGCAACGACATTCGGTAACCGACAAAGCCAGCAGAACAATAAACGTGAAAAGTAAATCAAACAGAAACCTGATCATGCTTGCAGCCCTGAACCCTAAACCCCTAAACCCGAAACCCAATACAACCTCATAGCAGGCAAACAAGCATGACCACCTGGATGGCACCACTCCGCCACTCGCCGCCGTTGCGCTCCTCAAAAGCCTTTAAGGCCAGTCCTCGCAAGGAAGAGTCTAATATAGGAACCTGATTAAGATACCTTGAGACTTTATTAGTATGGATCCAAGTAATCTGTGTGTCATGGACCAGGGTTTCTTAAACAGTCTAAACCCAAATCACTAAATCTCAAACTCTAAACAGCCGAAAACCTACACTACCTCAGCCAAGTTCGAGAGCAACAGTCGGCATGAGGCCAAGGTTGCGTGAAACTTCAAGCCCCGGAAAAAAGGGAGAGCTTGACCTCGAGCAATACCTGGCTCTATACAAGCTTCAGGGGGATTGTAACGGGCCTTTCCAGGTTTAGGGTTTAGGGTTTAGGGTTGTGTTTTGCAGTAGGGCTTGGGTGTAGGGTTTAGGTAAACGCGTCACGAGGCTGCCTGGACACATGTGGCCTCAGTAAGCGTGTAAGGTGCCAAGTGTTGATGGTCCAAGTGACCTCGGTGATACAGCGCGAAAGCCAGAGAATACTTTCCAGTGGCGCAGGCGTTCCTTGGATACTGCCGTGAACTGAGCTTGGGGCTGGAGAGTTTAGAGTTTAGGGTTGAGGGGAAGTCAACACAGCTGCGAGCAGCAAGGTTGGAACATCTCCGCTCCTGTATAACAAAACCCAATCGAGGCACGACAAAGATCTGCCCCTCGATCGTGCAGTGCACGCCGAGTTTTCCGAGTGGGTATTCACGGCTGCGTGCAATGCGACAGCAATTTTCGGACGCAGGCTGACAAATGTTGACAGGCATGCATGTTAGCAACGTCTGCCGGATGTGACTAAGCACTACTGCAATTCGGAAGCATTTGCTTGTGGATGGCCTCTTGAAGCAGACATGCGTTGATTCGAGACAGCACATATCGTAAGAATCAGAAGTGTCTAGTTCAGCCTCCTGTGAAACCAAAGGTCTAAGAAGGCACATCACGGCAAACACGATGACCTGAACCCGCTGGCCCCTGAACCTTTTGGAAAGGTCCTGCCGACTCAGCATCATGATGCAACAAGTTCCGAACGCTAGTCCAGACGATGAAGGACGCGACTTTGAGCCTTCGGCTATACTAGGGCACCTGAACCCTAAACCCGAAGAATTGAATTTTAGATCCGATTCTTTGACGATTCGAAATCTGCGTCCCGGAGCATCCGACAGTCCTAGACTTGAGGCAAGGGACCTCAGCGCCGAGGTTACGAAATCGAGCTTCTTCTTCCTGCGCTAAAAACATGACTGTCATGGAAGGGCAGCCAGGCTTGAGAGAGTTCTGAACCGCGTTTATGGGGGGGGGGGGCCTTCAAGTATCACAACGGTAGACATGGCTTTGTTGTTGGAAAACTTCGCGTATGCTATAATGTATGCTTGTTTAAAGAGCCCTAAACCCTTTGAAAGGAACCCCAAAGTCCGACGGCGGCATTGCTAATTCTGGAGGTTCGAACTGCAGCATTCGAGGCTCAGCTTCAGGAAGGGTCTAGGGTTCAGGGTCTAAGCCGAAACTCATGCCACAAGCCGCTTCTTCCTTCTGTGGAGAGAACGTGTTGCGGTACCGGGTCCGACGTGGGTCTACGGTCCCCGTGCCTGTGGGGATCCATTGCGAGTAGTTGGGCAGCTATGCCCTGAGTTGTAGGCTGCCGGGTCCCCGGCGCAGACAGAAATTGGCATCAACTGGGAAACATAGCCGGGTGCTCCAAACTCAGAAAAATACAGGGGCCACAGTCAGAATGGTGTTTTGTGATTGATTGGTAGATTCATGAACCCTGAGGATTTGTATAGGTAAAAATTCCCTCATCCCGACTAAGTTACTGCTCACGGCTGTGACACGAGCGATCTACCCACCCTCCTGAGTCGCGCATAGGGCTCGGCCAGGAACTCAGGCGTCACGCTGGCCTGCACTGCTCATGTTAGAGTTTAGGAGTCTGGGCTTGGGGCCTAAACCCTAAACTTCAACCCTAAATGTAAGGTTTGAGGGTCCTGGAGATGTTCGAACAACAGAACAAAAGATAACTGCTGTTGCGAAACTGCGCCTCTCTGGCCGCTGTGATCGCCACATGCAAGTCCCGCAAGCTCCTGAGTAGCTTCGGGCTTCAGAGTAGTCGTCGTCGTGGTCGTGGTAATGGCGCTGGTAGCGGTAGCAGTCGTAGTAGTCGTGGTGGTCGTGTTGGTCGTGTTGGTCGTG